ATAAACGATTCTTCTCTGTCAGAGGAGAGAAGACTTATGGGTTCTGGTAACGAAAGTCGAAGGGAATCGAACGAAACGATCGTGCGAGGTGTCGCGATACGACCGACCCTGTTAGACGTAACGTCTCGACCCGGTTTATTAGGAAACAGACGCGAGAACGGATAGAAATTAATTTCGTTCCCCGGTCAAAGTGTCCAATTAAATGATAGTAAATTGTGTAACGTTGAAGTTAATTGCGCATTCTTTTTTATAACGCATCTCCACGCTGTCCTTAACTTATTGGCACATAAAATGGGCTTAGACATTTTTACTCGTTGCACTGAAATTCTTCTTGGTTACATATTCCAACAGCATTGAATTTCCTTGATGTTTTCATGCATAGGTCACAAACGAGTACTTTGTGACAAAAGTTATGAACAAGCTTCGGAAAACGGTACCTGACCTTTTAAATTTTGCTCCATTGTTTAGCATAAAAGCATTTTATAAATAGGAATCACATGGAATTCGACATTCTATTAATTTCATTTATTAACAATTCTGCTTAATTTAGAGACCTTAAGCTTCAGTACTTGTGGCAGTGATTATTCGAAATTACCAGTTTGTGGTGCCCTATATAATTAATACTAATTCACATATAAAGAATAAAAAAACTGTTCTAAAAAGACATTAATTACTTTTAAATATCGTTGAAAATAATGTTAAAAAATTTATTTGTATTCCCATTACAACTGTTCTGGAATCTCTCGTATAACTTTTGTTGTGGACAGTTTCTTTCACGTTTCAATCCTTCCAAACATACTTAAACGTTTTGTTATGTACATTGAAATGTATATACAATATATATAAATAGCGATTGCATAAAATACTTATTTATATATTTATATATTTATATTTTTATACATTTATATATTCATATATTTATATATTTATATATTCATATATTTATATATTTATATATTTATATATTCATATATTTATATATTCATATATTTAAATATTTATATATTTATATATTCATATATTTATATATTCATATATTTATATATTCATATATTTATATATTCATATATTTATATATTCATATATTTATATATTCATATATTTATATATTCATATATTTATATATTCATATATTCATATATTCAAATATTCATATATTTATATATTCATATATTCATATATTCATATATTCATATATTCATATATTCATATATTCATATATTCATATATTTATATATTTATATATTCATATATATTTATATATTTATAGAATGAAAAATGCTAAAGGTTAAATATGGTTTTTAGTTCATGTTGGCCATAGAGTGTACATGAATTAAACCGGTGTTCTAAATGGCGATTGATTTATCTATCCACAATCTTTCACAACTTCGCGCTTCGTTCACGCCAAATTTTTTTCTCGTAGTTGGAGATTTGTATTTTCGAAACTTCAACAATAAAGCAGAACAAGTCGCGGCAAAACTAATTGGTTTTGTTTCGGCCGTAGTCGCAAGGTGCGCGAGCATGCTCCATTAATTTTGTTTCCACTAGATCCTCCGCTGCTACAGGAGATTTATGTAACGAACAGACAAGTACGAAAAATGGTCGGGGCAAGAGGAATACAAATTGACGGCCGATTGGAACGATGCGCGCCGCGTGATTAGATTACCCTGTCGCAATGTAATTGGAATTGCCTCGATCAAATTTACGAGAAAATGATTTTAACGTTTTCGAATTCCTGGATTCATGCAAATTACTTATTCTTTTCAGCCACGGCGAATCTCGTTAACAGGAACACCGACGATAATCAAATTTCGACAAACACGGGGATCGCTGATCGCACGACGACATTTATCATAATTAATTATAAATCTCAGGCAGGAATGAGAATTAAATGTCGGAAGTGATAAGTCGGACGAAAACCGCGACGTGATCGATGGACTGGCGATGTCGCGCATTTCGCTTGTCATTGTTCTCGTTCTAGGTCGGGCTATACGCAATTCAATGGAAACGAAAGGATCCTGGAATACTAATCCTGAAAGCGAGGGAAGCGTAATCGTGCCGGTGCGCCAGGAACGCGCTCTATTATCGGCTACGAAATTCCCAAAACGCGGAACGCTCGATCACGCGACAGGGGACATTATAGGGGAATTGTAACGAGTCCATGTGAGATGATAAACTTTCTACATTCAATTATCAGCTTTCCATTGTTAAGCGTGAATTTTTCAAACTTAGAACTAGTCGTTCCACGTCAAAGTTCGAAGATTCTAATCTGAAATGAATTTTAAGGTTCCAATTTCAAAAAACCACTATTTATTTTAAAGATTCATTTTTGCTCCCGTTGACACTTTAGTGACTGAATAATCTAACTTACTATGCTTGAAACGTCTTCTGTGATTTGTCATGGATTTATCTCGCAGAACGGTTTCTATTGAAACAACTAACTTATTATATGTTCGATAGAGAAATTGTTTATACACGTATTAAAAATGGAAGATAGTGTTGCATATCTCATTTAATTTGTGTAGTTTGTAGTGTGTTGTATGCAATTATCTCCGGAAGTATTCATTGTTTAAGACATGTCTCGAGTGCAATTATTTTCTATATTTTTAGTATATATTAATAATTTAGTACACTTATAAGGAAAGGTATCGAACCCGAAAATTCAAAACATTATGAGACTTTATGTGTCAGTAGAGTAAGTCAAGTCTAATGCATTGTAATTCTTTTTTCGTGCCGGATTTCATTTTGAAGGGGTGGAACCACACCTTGAAAGAAATGCAAATTTTTCTTTCCCGTGAATTACTTTGAAAACGGCAAGAGCTAGTAAAATAAAGTTTCAGCAAAAAATATATTGTTCTTTCACGTCTATAAAATTGCAAAATAAAATTTTTCAAAAAGTGTTGGTGGCGGGGGTGTTCTTAAAATTTTGAACTTTCTGTTACTTTATCTTCAGGTGATGTTTATCTTTCTGTTAGTTTATCTGTAGGTGGACGTGTGTAGGAAATATGAAGATCACTGCTATTTTTTTAAATATGATTGTGTAATTTTTTGCATCAATCGATCCAGTAGGTCATTGTTCGCAAAAGTGTTAACCTTTGTAGGTCGAAAATCGATTGCAACAGAAAAAACTGCATTTGAGACATTTTTTTAATAATAAATAGTTCCGGAAATAATTACATTTATACATTAAAATGGGACACCCTCTATATCAAGGAAATGATAAAAAATATTAAGTTCTAGAATAATTTCAACATTATAAATTAAAAAAATAACGATAGGGTTTGTCGAAAGGTTTCTTCAATGTCTGGAGACGATTAAATGCTTTCTTGAACCTTTACTCAATTTTCGTATTTTGTACTTTGCAAAATCTCTTCACATTCGCGTTTATATTAATATTTTATTGAAATATCGTTCATTGTAGGAAACGTTGCAGAATATTTTTAACAAACAAAAAAAGGTTCACTATTTCCTTCAGATTGCAATTACTGCAGTTACTACAGAAGCAAAAGAACTTGTTGAAACGTATTATTTCTTTCATTTACACATTGATAAATCATTTTTGATAATAAATATGTATTCATTATGTGATTAGTTTATTATTTCTAAAAGAAATCCGATAAGAAATTCTATAACGTTCTTGTGATTGTAACGGAAATATAAATTAAATGTTGTAATTATTTACATTACATTTCTGTACATAGTGTCCTTCATTAATACTCGTTATATTATATTCTATAGACAAATTCTTTTAGTTGTCAATTAGCGTTAATTAAAATATCACAATTACATACACATGGAACATCAAAAGATATGTGATACACACTTCTTTATAATTACGAACATTCACGTCTATGAGGAAAAAATAGGGATGAAAACTCTACTTTATGAAATACGTGTATCTTGAAAACTAATTAATACAGAAAAGAAACATTAAATGTAAAAATAGCTATACGTTTTTAAGGGATATGTATATCCTTTTTTATATGAAATTGTACATTTATAAATATTTGAAACTGAACATGTGCTTATATAATATTATTTGCTTTAACGTTGGGCCAATTATTCATCAAAATTGTGTAACCTAAATCTCCCCATGGTTATATAACACGTAACGACTGGATCTTTGTTTTCTCACTTATTGGTAAAATTCGGAAAATGTACGACTTTTGAGAAAATTTACAATTTTGGTATACAGCGCATATTGACGAAGTTTTAGTATAAATATAGCAATTAATATTAAAACTATTAACCTATAAAAGCTACCATCAAAGATAAACACATTAGTGCTATCATTAATGCGTTTATAACAAAATACACGATGGAACTAATCTGTTTTGTAATAAGAGTATTATTACTAAAGAAATTCGCCAAAAATTAATATTATCAATGTTTTCAATAATGGCAAGTAATAATCACGTGGGTTGATTTTAACCAATCTAATCCATAACCATAGAATTTGTTGAAGATTCATTCAAGGTGCCCGCGAACCATCGACAAATTTTTGAAAATGTTGTTTACGTCAATTTGCATATTAAAATAAATTTTTTGTCCACAACATTGAAAATTAATTTCACTTTATAATCATGAATAACACAAATTGCAATAAATACCTCGCGCATACTTTACGATGCTTTACACGTGCACCAAAGCTCATTAGAATCAGCGTTTACGAGTTCTAATTTAAATATAAATTATACACGACAACAAATATACTGAAAAATAATTTACAATTATCTATATTACAAGTATACTGTGGATTTTTATACATTTATATGAAATTCAAAACGGAAAATTGCAGAAATTGCACACAGCACAGCAAATATATGAAATATCAAGAGCGTAGTGTTTTTTTACATTATTTATTAAAAAAAATCATTTATCATCGTAATTCTATTCTTCTAGTTACGTTCTTAAAATCTGAAATGTACATATAGATCCGCAGTCTAATCGTAAATGTACGAATCACAACGGAAATCAAGCATCTCTTAATGATTAATTACCTGCTGCTGTTAACGGAAGTGTTGCTCCTGCTGCGCCTCGAAATAATCGAATCTCCGCGATTAACGATCCCTCTGTGGGTGATGCTGAACGCACGAAGTCGATAAAGATCGTCCCCGGCTCTCGGGTTGTACGCTTTCTCCGGTAAACTGTGTACACGTGGTCTGATGTGATCTGGCACTGCAACACACCGTTAGACAGTTAATTAAAGCTTTGCTATTAGTTCGGACAGGACAACGAGCAACACCCTAAATCGATATCGAATGGACATTCCATTAATTAGTTACTGCTTTTCATTAATCGATTCAAACGTGTCAGTGCCTGTTTTCGACTTCCTCGAACATTGAAAGTCGACCTTTCGGTAATAGCGTTAG